CTGAGAGAAAAAAGAAAAACCAAGGGCCCTGCGTGTCCCCGGGGTCGCAATCCCGACTACTCTCATGTGGAAATACTTGACATTTGTGTTTGCGTTAGCCGGATGCAGCCTGCCTGGACATGAAGTCAGAGGTCGAATGGCGGGTGTCCGACTGGTCATTGCCACCTCCGAGCTCTCTTCCATCAGCGGGCAGGTCTGGCATTTCTCTCTTCATGTCGTGGCAATGAGACGCCAAAAAAACACTGCAGCTCTCCCATCTGTGGCGTGACGGAGCAGGACTCTGCGTCCTTAAACAACTCCTCTCGTAGGTTCGGTCTCTACACGTGCAAAAAGGCCGAAGAGAACGGCAAACAAGAGAGAACAAACACATCTTTGCTCTCGGTAAGCATCACGGCAAACACAAAGGCAGATAAACAGAGTTGAACAAACTGGGTATGACAACAAACAAGTCGGCCAAATAATGTCAAATAGGGAACAAAAGAAATAAAGGGCAGGGAACAAACAAGGGCGAATCAGGCCAGACGGAAAATGAGGCTACGTTTTTATTCTGCACGGCAACTAATGCAAATAATGTGCCTCATACCGATGGCAGACGCAGGGAAATGGAGTGAATCAATACATACATGCTGCAATTAATGGAGAACAACTGAGAAATGAAGTAGGAACTGAAAGAAATCTGAGGATAAAGTCAGGATGGATTCGTGTAAACATGCCGTGTTTTCCCCCGAGAAGAACTAATCACGTCAGTGTGTCCTGTTGCAGAAGTGGAGAAATATCCACTTAATTCCAGTTTGTTTTTATGTGCACATGTGAGACAAAACATAAACAAATATGACATCTGCAATTCAAATAGATTTAACATGTACGATACTGCAGACGAGATGAGGAGCACCATGTAGTTGTTTTGTGTTCATGCAACTTACAGCGATTGCATTTTCATCATCCCTATGACCTTTGGGGGATGTTGGAGGGAAAAGGGGAGATGGCAAAGCAAAGCTAACGTTTTTAGCCCACGTCGCTCTGCATAGGGGGTAATCTGTATTATACATAAATACCTCGCAGTGTTGCATAAGCAGAGCCATCGACCCACACAAGGCTGCTTCAAAGTCCGACATGCAAGGAAACAATCCGTGCATTGAGCACCTCAGCACCTCCCACTCCCCCTGCCGGCTCTCCTCGCAGCGGTTGAAGTCTCACCTTTCATCCCGTCTCGCTGCAGACGGCTTTCCACTGGAACTATTTCTTGACGCATAAACCCACTTGAAATTAGCCGTTATTTCCAGGACATGTGAATTACTTGTGTTCCGCACGCGTTAAACCTGCAGACGCTCCATGTAACAGACAACAAGGTGAAGCGTCTCCAGGAGAACCGTACTGACAGCAAAGCACCTCCTACCCACTTTCCTTTATGTTTGTATTTATAGCAATAGCATATAGAAAATCAATGAAACAAATGGACCCATCTCTCCTGTTCATAAGCTCCCCATGTGGTCCCACCCAAGGAACAATTTGTCACTACCACCCAGCGTGGCAAATGCCTCCGTAGCATCTCTCAATAAAGCATCCATCGTCCCACGCTGTGCCGCGTTATTAACGGCCAGCTCCGCGGTAATCTCTCAAAGACATCCTGGATGGGGGGTCCTCTGTATTCCCGTGCAGTCTGGCCTGTGGGACACACCCCACGGCGAATGAGAGAAATCTCTAACACCTCCTTGTAAATCTCCTCCGTGTGGCCCAGATAAGAGTTGAATAGAGTTATCGAGCCCCCAGTTTAAAATATAAGCCCCCGCTGAAGGGACCCTCAGTAGCGTCACAATAAGAAGAGATTTCATGTTTGTTTCTGTAAAAGGGCTCCAGCTCCTCTTTACCTGTATTTGCCGACAGCCAGGCTCTGGTTAACCGGTCTCACTGCGTGAAACGGCCACAGCAGAAAGAACAAATCGACCCCGTCAAACATCAAACAGCATATGCGTGTGAAGGTTAAACGTAAAGTCACGACTTTATTTACTACTAAAAACAAGCTGGATTATTTCCATTCCCCTGATTGGCTTAAGTAATTCAATTGAATTCAATTTGCTTTATTGACAAATATTTAATAATGTCAATATTGTCAAAGCTCCAGGAAATAACTGCTTTTTAAAGAAACATTACATTGATGGAGGGGCCACACAAAATAATGGAAACAGCTAATGGAATACTAACGTCGTCACAAGGTGGTTCATGTTTGGTTGAATGTCAATTAAGCGCTTAAAAGGAAGAGTTGGCAATCAGCGCTGTGGTATGTGAGATATTGTTAGCAGCATCGGAAAGCACCCTTAAGTTATCCGGGCCTACGACGCAAAAGGAACCGCCAGAATAGACGAGGCATCATCGAAGAGAGGTCTCACTCTGGCGATGGCGGCCTCCTGAAAGGACGGGTGTCTGTGCTCCGCGTGACAATATCACAGCATCGTGTTACAAATAACGTCTGCGTGAGAGAAGAAAAGTCTGTGGCGTGTGCGTGGTGTCAAAGCGTGGAAAAGACATTTAAGATGTTAACACCTGAGACCTGCAGATTAACAGAAACATCGGTGCACACACGGCGGGGCGCAGATGTTGTCATATTACTTAATCTGAGTTCCAATAGTGATTTCAAATCTCCGTGATATCGGCAGAGGGGAAGACAATCGTCAGTCATCCCTTTAATCGCCAACATGCAATGCGATTGACAATCAGCACCAGCATATCAAGTCATTTAAGGTGCTTCCTGCACTAGAAGTTACATCCTGTTGACCGACAAGTCTAGTGAGTCTGTACAGTAACGGCTCTTAAGTCACAATGAAAAATCTCTCTTTTTACGATGGCTAATTTGAGTATATATGAGTGTAGCAATTAGATACGTTTTGTATCGTTTTGAAATTGAAATTTCCACACGGATGGAGTGGTAATGATTTAGGAATTAGTAGCACAAAATAGCAGTTGCGGAATTTAAATCAACAGATTTCCAAATAACCCTGTATGAAGGAAACAAGCGCCCGACAGCTGCATCCAAGGCTTTTACGTCAATCCACAGCAGCAACATCATCCTCAATTAAGAATCCATTATAGAACATATTTACATAATCACAAGCGGAGAATTTAAATGTATGTTAAACCAAAGGCAGGAACTGAAAGGCCTCCTTGGTGCTCCAGTTATTCATGAGAAGCAGGTAAGAGAAACCAAAATGCACTTCCCAGTAAAAGGCGGGTTAAGAGCACCTGAAAGTCACGACGGATCCAACAAAGGAAAGAGAGGAAGAAAATAGATTATTAATCCCTTAAAAAACCCAAGAGATTGCTCCTAGCAGGTGTGAAAACAGCAGCCTCCAAGTGCTTCAGTCACAAACTCGTCTCCGGCATTTTGAGCATCCGGAAACACGAATATACCGTATGTGGTGCAGCGTGAACGCCAGTTGGCTTTTAAGGGTTATTAGACGGCTTCATACAGACAATAGATGCTTAATTCTCTGGTCATTGAATTGAATGCTTCCTGAAGACCAGGAAAAGAAAAGAAAGATCTCTGTGAACAGGAAGAAATGCAAGAAATAAATGTCTTACAGTTACACAAACATATTTAGGCTCATGAAGAGTCTCAACGGGCGCAGATGAAGAACTATTTAGTCTGGTGATGTGATGAAGAGCAGTAAAAAACAGACGAACAAAGGTAGAGGAGGGATGAATGAATCTGAAGAACAAACCAGCAGAACATTGTGTCAGGCTACCAGACATCTTGTCTTCAAAGCATGGACAAAATTTTGGATATTCGGTAACCTGGTGACATTTTACTGTTAATGGTGAAAATAGACGTGAAAGCTACCCAAATGTCCCTGTCATTCCAGTGGAGTCACCTTCAGGCTTATCAAACATCCATTCGGCTGGCAGGTACCGATCATCTCATCTTCTGCAGAACTTATTCTTTGTTTACTAGAAGTGAGCCACATTGCAAAGAAAACGACAGAAATGATTTAACAAGGTAAATTATACGCCTAATTAGGACATTTAATGACTCCAACGCCGTGTGTCTTGTTATTTGAAAATCCTGTCTGTTTTCGGCATAACGAGAAAAGCATCTAAAAGGTAGAAAGAGACGTTATTGATGGAAAACCGCTGGGAGGAAAATGACTCCGGTATTACCTCCTATTGTCGTCAAAGAAGTGATCAACTTCCATTAATCCACAACATCAAAAGATGAAGAAGAAACAACCCTGTTTACTCAGAGAAAGAAAAGTGTGAAGCAGAAGGAAGGAGAAGAAAAAAGAACAGAAGAAGGCGATTTAAGCTTTTTGAAGCTTTTTTGACGGCATTTCCGAGGCTTTGAAACTCAGATAGAACCAAATCGCCTCCTGAACTTCTGTCCCCCGTCTCGCCAGTGAGAAGATTCTCATGTAATGCAAGAATTCTTAATTACAACCATCCCCAAAAAAAGACGCAGCACGACTAAATCCACGTTGAGGGTCTGTGTGAAGAAGGATAAAGTGTTGATTCACAGACAAGGGAAACAAAAACGTGACAAGAATCTGGGAAAGAATTAAAGTGCCTCTGTTCATTTCCGGTCCCTCAGAATAGTGTTACTCTCACATAAGTAAAATAATACAAGAACCCGTCACACAAAGTCTGAAGCCGGCTTTGTTCGATTTAACATCACACAGTGCTTGTTAATGCGCTCCTTCAATTTCACCAATGTTCAAATGAAGGCATCGGGGGGTGTAAAACAAGTAGCAAATGGACTGATGGAGATGAGGCGGTGTCGCGCCGTCACGCTGAGGCTATAAGAAGATGTTTTATTCACGATGGCGACCTGAAGCTCACCACAGCTGCAGTAATACAATCCGAAAGCTTTAGCTTACATGCAACCGCCCACTGCTTTGTGTGGCATCACACGGGGCCAAGTGGTGGATGGGGGCTACTTCCCCTTTAAGGGGCAGCAGCCAGCCTACAAGATGGCTGCTGCAGAGGGAACCGCAGCTCCCAGAAGGCCTCAGGACCCGCACAGGTGGAGGTGGTCAGGCCCCTGATTAAGGCTGAACGTGCAAGGAGGAACCAGACGCGAAGGACTGGAACAAGGTCGAGTTGTTTGGATTGATTAAGAGCTTGTTATCACATGAAGGTGAGTTCATCAATCCAAAAAGGGCACTAAACCGGTTTGGCTGCTTTAATCTTGGTTGTAAGATGGGCTTCGGGGTCACTTGTAGCGCGAGGTGGATTAACAAATGCAGCGATGGCCGCGCGGCATCCAGCTAGACGTCGCCCTCTCTTGTTTGTCTGCCGCGTCCCACTCGCCGGTACCGGTGGAACTCTGCTTAGACAGAACGCTTAACAAAATCATGAAAAGCCCTCGTCGACGATAATTGCATTCCGCCGAATGCTCGGAGCTTTTGATGGCTGCCTTGTGTCAGATATTTCCACCGTGCCAGCGCAAGGACGTTTCAACAAACCCATTCATGAGATACTGTTGAATGTCACAGTACAATTTGTATCATCACAATGGCAATAATAATGTATCATTAGAATGTCATGTCATGTGCTTAGCTGGTGCTGAGCGTGAAAGCTGTGCGCCGTTAGCAGAAGCACTTCCTCAGCTGCACATGCATATTGATGAACCCCGCCGCCATGAACGGTCACGTTCGCTTAACGTCAGCTGGGAATTGTGAAGCTGTAAATATGCTTGGTACTCTGCGATCTTAAGAGTACTAAAGGTTGCCTAAATTCACAGAGTTACTGTAAAACGAGAAACAAGGAGTTGTGTGTGTGCGTGCGTGTGTGTATACATGTGTGTGTTGGCTGCGTCCACTCACACTCTGTATTGAGCAGCTCCACTGCAGACGCACAGTGTGGAGCTCATTCCTTCCCCGCTTGAGGTCCTAACCAGCAACTCTCTGCTAACGACCAGCGCGTTCACTTTTTGAATATTAACAACTTTGAGTTCAATAATACACCGTCCGTTTCAATGCTCCTCAGGGTCTCCAAACCGAAAAGACACACTAGTGTTTTAACGTCATTCATCGTTGTTAAAAATTCAACAGGATGACCCCCTGGGAAATAAACAACACGGATAGTAATTTATCCAATTCATCCACGATATTCTTCCGTCTTCTAACTGGCGCCATTTCATCAATAATCCCGACACATTATTTTTTCATCTTGCGTTAAATGTGGGATCATCCGTAGAAACCAGAAATCATCATATATACTGTAATCCTGCATAATACTTACCATCAGTAGTCATGGTATAGGCCTTTGCGTTGCTGTTTGAAGATGGCCTTCTGTGTGTCAAATTAATCTAAGAGTTCTATTTCCAGTCCCAGTGTTTATGCCAAAGGCGGTATTAAAAAAAGAAAATCTCAAGAGAAAGAAGTATTTAAATAGATTTAAAATATGGATGTAATAAGCTCCCCCTTGAGTCATAAGTATTCCATAAATGATACAGGTTTAACTGGTAAGAAGCACAATCTTTGCATTGCTTTGTGTTCCCTGTGTGACAGATTGCTGTAATGATATTAGGGAGGTCTGCCGGGCCGACCTGGAGTAACTATTCTCCACAGCAACACGAGCAGAAGCCCTCCGCAACCTCGCTGTAAACATTTTAACAGCACTTGCTTGATTAAAATGTCACATCCACTGTAGCAATATACAGCAGAGTTCTCTGCGAGTTAAAAATGAATTAGGCTGGCAGATGTGGCCTTAATGGCCTAATTACGCCTTCACGTTTGTCCCAGTAAAGTGTGGCCACAGATGAATATTGTTTCAACTCTTGCATTTATGAGTAATGCCCAAAAACAATTTCAAATGTAAATTCTGAGACAGCTGCTCTGGGTATGTTGAGACCAGGGCCCTCGTTTATAAAACCCTGCGTAGGATTTGCGCCAGAAGTGTCGTACGGTTGAAACGTAGGACGTGCGGACGCACCGAAAATATTCAGACTTATAAAACGTCCTACGCAGTTTTCCCTTAATAAATCACAATCACTTCTAAATGCAGCGCAGCTTTTGCGGCTTCATGCCACGCCTACAGTTGCCCATATATAGTCTGTGGAACGCCCACAAATTAATATTCATCGATGGCGAAATCATGACAAACACTGAGAGGAAACGAAGAAACGTAACTTCACTCAGTGTGAAGTGGAAATGATCATTGGGAGGTGGGAAGGAGACGTAAGATGCTCTTTGGAGGACGCAGTGTGGATCACTGATGCCAACAAGGCACCTGAGGGGCAAAAGGCTGCAGAGCAACGCTGCAGCCTCACGACCTCGGACCGGCCGAAATAAAGAAGAAATGGTCTGACATCAAAGTGGATGCAAAAAAGCGTTTAGCGCGCCATCGCCAAGGTGTGTCTGCCCCGGAGGGGGGGGGGGCACCGGAGCTGTCCCCTCCTGATGAGAGACTGGCGGCAATGATTGGGGATTGGGGACAGGGTCTGGGCCAACATCGGCGTCAGGGGGTCGAGGCACGTTTGGAAGCTGTGCTACATTATGTAGCACAGCACATGCAGCAGGATGTTGCACACCTTATCAGGAGTAAACAATAACCTCCCTCCAGCGCAGTCGAGGCAGCGCCATCTGCCCTTAAACAGGCCGATGGTGCGCTGCACTACAGCGCCAATCCTTCCATGTGCCACATCTTCTAAGAGCGCAAGATCAGCCATCAGCGTCATTACGCATTGTGACGGCATCATGGCGTTTTATTGCCGTCCATCTGACAGCAACAGCTGTGTTTTGTGGATGAATTTAATAATATGCCGATATTATTGCAGAACATATTTCAATTTACTTTTTGAAAATGTGTTAATTTGTTTGTTTTACGCTGCAGATCGATCAAACGGGTGTTCGTGTTATTTATGAGCGGGAGTAATGGCATTTCCTTTACAACAGTCTAGTTTTACACACTTTCACACACGTTTGCGTGTTTCTTGCGTTTGCTGACGGTTCTCATTTCACCCGTTTTTGTGCGTACGCATGGGTCCGAGCTTGCGTGAAGGACCGCACATTTTTCCGTCAAGTTTGCTTTTTATAAATACCAATTATTGCGTCGAGAGCGGCGTACGCCTTCTTTTGTGCGTACGCAACGTTTATAAATGAGGCCCCAGCTCATGAAACATCCGCATCTGGAAAGTTGGAAAACGACCGGATGCAAGAGGTAGACGGTAAATAAAAATACCCATTAAATCCAGTGAAATCACCATGTACGGCCGTTAAGTTCTTCACAGCTGCAACTGTAATGCCCGCCATTAAACTCAGTGAGAACTCGCTGCGCATTTAGTTTATATTCATCTCTGTGACATATTATATATAAATATGTAGGTTTTATACACCCGTTTTCCTTATTTGCATGTTTGGAAAATGCAAACATTTGAACGGAACATTGTTTGTGTCATGATTCCACATGGAAGGGCTGTTTTTTGAGGTTTCTGTAAAAGGACGAAGCATCTTCAGGACGCTCGCCACGTTGAAGCAACAGAACGATCCGATCCATTTGACTCAAATACTGTAACATTAGTACTTCCTTCCTTCTTTCCTTTTCCTCAATTCCTAACCCTGAATGAGATTTCCATGTACCACTCGAGACTCTACCTGCACAAAATGTTTATCTGGCTTCTCCACCACTACATCCTCCTCCCCTGGAGGTGTAATCCTGAGAATGAATGTGGAGAGACTAAATTAAGGGACCCAATTTGAAGCGGCACCACTTCCCCGATAAGCTGCACCAGTGATCAGCGAGAGCACTCAGGGTCGGCTACATTATGACAATGCAGAGGAATAGAGCAGATGAAAGAATAGCCCGGCGAGAGCTGAAATCAGATGGTCAGAGGGAGAGGAAAAACAATCTGCAGTCTAATTGTGTTATGCCTCATGGCAGCAAGGGACTTCAGAGAGACACGTTTTCTTTCCACAAGTCGTTCAGCAGGGTCCCTTCGCCGCCATCATCTCATTCATTCACAAGCGCGGCCCGTCTTTCTTTTCCCCGGGTGCTTTTGTTGCAAAGAAACGAGATGAAAAGCAGACATGGAGGAACCCAATCAGACCCGTTAGGTCACCAGGAACCTGCAGCACTGGAGATTGAGCATGTTGGTGAGATGTGTCTGAGGAGCAACCGGCTCGCCCTTTGGGAGGAAAATGTCACTTTCCGCACTGAGTGGCGAAGGAACCCGCCATCACTTGGGATGTTCTTCAGCTGGTGTTTTCATTCATTTCAGAAAGCGGCTAACGGACATTTTACTTCACACAGTGACTGTCAGGAACCAACATGCTGCTTTTAGAATGTCTCCATCTTCTATCGTGGGAGTCCTGTATATGTAATATAACAATCGGTATGTTTGCTAAAATCATTTAAGTTTTTCTTTTGTAATGTCACCATCCTCCTTTGGCTTTTCTGTGTCATGTCAAACCAGCTGCAGCAGATGTGTAGACCGGAGGAACCTCGTGAGCCGAGCACGGCGCAGCCATTTGAGACGGATGTCACGGAAAGACAAGAAGGCCCATCCGTGTTGATAAGTTCCAAAAATAGAATGTTTCCTGTTTCCACTGAAACCCTTTTCTGTCCTTCTGCATCGCTGCTGCGGTTTTTCCAACAATCAGCAGGTGTTGGTGCAGCGTGTGACCACGAAGAGAGATCCAAGACGTAGCCTCTATTGCTCCACACCACACTAATTACACTCATGCAAACATTTAACATTTGTGTTGTGATAAAATCTAATTCAAGTGCAAGTTGCAAGTAAGAAACCTCCTTTCTATCGTCGTCGTGTGTGTGTGTGTGTATAAACTTTGGGTAATCAGTTCTTGTATCGTCGTGGGACCGTGGCGCTGGAACAGATGGCCCTGTGACCAGGCCGGTCAGTTCAAAGGACATTTTTAAATAGACACGAGACGCTGTCCAGGCCTTCAAACCCTGGTAGGATGAGCAACATGACAGTAGTGAGAATGGGGCTGGACTTTGTGGCGCTACGGCTCGGTTAAACCGAGCGAGAACCCAAACTAGTGGTTTTTTTCATTCCCTTTTGCTTAATTCCAACAATTCATGATGACAGAACTGTTGATTTGGCCTCTTGTTGAAGAACTCTCTCGGAGAGCAAAACGTGGGTTTTCTACAGTCTGCCCAAGTTTCACCACCTTCCAATTACACAAGTCACATATGGATACTGTTACGTGCAGTTTGTTTGCAGGGGTGAACGTCCTTTTTATCCAAACCTGACCCAAGAACTGACATGAAAAGGCATCCACATTCACAAGACGATTTGGATTCGTGTTGTCATACCTGCAGGGCTTCCCAATGTCAGATGTCGAATTCACTGTTACAGAAGCAAGAAAGTCCTTTAGAAACCCCCCAGTGTGACTCTATTCACGGGTCGCTCACTCCAGGGTCTGAAAGGGAACAAAAGAAACACAAATCAGAGCAGACATGGAGAGTGAGCTCAGACTCCGCCACCGCGGATGTCCAGTGATCCAGGATAAACATCCTCCAAGAAATGTCAGGCCAGGGGAAAATGTTAGCTAAACACACACACAGTGATCACAGGCAAGAAAAGGCCTGGGTGACATATGCACACACACGCTTCCTCCTTCCTTGGTCAGCTTGATCATATTTCGGCCTAACCAGCTCCCAGAGAGCGGCTCATTGTAGTCAAACGCACCTGAAGAACCTGAGTGCATAGCGACATATCGGATACTGCGAGAGTTAACGTTAGCTATGTTCCATTAAAAGATCCCCCAGTGCTGATACTCTCCTGCCGGTGCTTGTTGGGGTTCTCTGGGCTGACGGATGTGTTGCCTGAGCTGAAGAGAGCGGCTTCAGTCGACCGTAAAGCCGCCGGAATTGAACAAGTAACTTTGCTTTCCCAGCTCTCGTGACCAACGGGCTGCACTGTGGTCCACATACGGCCTGTGCATGAACAGAAGGCCGAGGCTGTGTGAAATTATTGTGCTTATTTGTCAATGCTTGGCAGACATGAAATGAGACACGTGGCATTACCTTCGATCAAATCAAGGTAGCCTGCACACAAAGGGTTCCTCCTGTCGTAGCCTGTTCTAGTAAAACCTTTTGGATATTCTTTTTTTTTTTACATTTCATAATATTTCCATGATTAAAACTCACATTCACATCCTTTTAAAGATAAAAACAACATGCATTGAGATGTGAAGACAACTTATCCAGCCGCTCTCATCCATACAGGAACTGGATTCATGACAGATTATGTGAAATGTAGGCTTTAAAAGCCTTAATGCCAGCAAGGATTTACACACTATATCAAAGTTCACCATCGCCGGCGTGCTCAGCGGGGAAAAAAAAAAAAAAAAAACTTAAAATTTCAGGTTTCCTTGAAGTCAAATTGTGCAATGTGAGCGGAGGCTGCTGCTGCCCACCGAGGAGCGCACACCTCGTCCCCTGACTTGCAATGGCGCCGTGTTCATCCCACCCACTGACTGATCAGCCTAATCCACTGTGGAGGATTTGAGCGCTGCGTTGCGGAGCAATTGTGCTCCGGCGAAACGAGTGCGGCTTAATTGGAGCAAAGACTTAATGAGCTCCCCTCGAGGATTATCATCTGTGGCTTAGAAATGGCCCAGGTAGCGGGAGACACGGTCAAAGGGATCAGCTAACAGCCTTCTAAATTGGAGTGACAGCGCTAAGCCGCAACTGTGCCAATACAATCTTTGCTTTTTATTTTTACGGGCGTCCTTGGAGAGACGTGGACCAAAGGAAAAATCTCAGAGGAAGAAGAAATTAGCATTTCAGTAGTGTTTTGCTTCAGTTTATTGTACATCCTGTTCATATATTAAACATTTTGTTAGTACTTATCAATATAAAAATACCCCAAACACATGGAACGTTGAAATCGGGGCGCTTTTTATTATTTTAGATGTTTATATTCCAAAGTAGTTATCAGTTAAGTGTCTCCAAGATGTCAGAAATAGTGAACGATTCCTTGTCAGGTAATTCTACTAGATCAAGTCTTCAACACTTTAAAATAGATCATCAATTGCAATTTTTTGGCCATTTCTTCCTAAAAAAAATTGTTGATTATCAGCTAATCAATGACTTGATTGGGGTGTTTTAACCCTGGAGGAGGAAACACACATGAGGCTCAGAGGTGAAGTAGACCCATCGCTCGCTCTGCAGGCAATTTACTTCCCTCAGAAGTCCGTCTCCACTTGACAGCCACAGATCAGACATGACTGACCAAGATAAATGCTCAGGCTCTAAAGTCAGATCAATTCAATCCAGCAAGCGTCCTCGCCAGGAACAAAAGGCCACACTGTCAACACGCCTCAACTCACTTCAGTGCTCCTCCGCTGTCTCTCCGTCCTCGTTACGTAAACACCCAAAGCTGTGAGTGGCCTGCTTTTCAAAGTTGAACAGGTGAATTCGACTTTTCCAGTTTGCCGCTCAGTTCGCGCCTCCACCGGACAACGCTGTGTGGCACACCTCCTTCTCCCGTTTTCTTTAAATTCATTTTCCCTTGTTCAACCTCAGTGGGCTCCAAGGTCGGACCCCCCCCCCCCCCCCCCCACTAACACACCCCCACGGCCGCCATTTCAACACGCAGCACGGTGTGAGCGGCTGCTTACAGTCTGTGCATCAAGTTCAACTAATGACACAAATGAGGCAAAGTCGGCTGCATTGATCCGAAGCTCTATTTAAAGCTACCAACGTGCGCTGGTCATGCACCTCGTTGTAGATGCGCGAATCGTTAAACAATTGAAAATAATCACATTTCTGCGGTTTCTCTTTGAAGTGCTTTGAAGTGTTTCAAAGAGCAAAATTGTGACAAGTTGAAAATACAGAATGCAATATGGATTTAATGAATGCAGAGATGGAGATCCTCTTGAATTGTGTGTTGTACAATACAAAGCAACAGGCGGGTATGTGGACAAATATCTTAATTAAAAAAAGACACCTTTTTACATCGTAATTTACATTTCAGTGAAAATAATTTGTTTGTGACTTAAATAAGGGTTGTACATATTTGCACACTGTGTGAGACGGGCCCCTCGCCTGCTGTTTCATTTAGAGATGCTGCCGGCGTCCTTTCCTCATCGCCCCAAAGTAGCTTCATGAAAAGTACCAACACCCCCCAGCCTCCTTTTCATCTGCCTCTCTTCAAAGAGAATAAAACCGAACAGACCAAAAGGAAATTTAGCTTGCTTACTTTTTTATACACAAAGGAAAAAGTGAATATAATAGAGTAGACCGTATAAAAATATGGACATTATACATTTAAAAGGTCACTGAAATGTCAAAGGAATCACAGAAACCTTTGGGTCATCAGAGGTTCATCTTCTCAAGCAGATCTGCAAGCAAACTGCTTGAATGAAACCTTCTCAGGGAGGTGATGAGCCGAGGCGAAGGCAAATCCACCTGCCAGACTACATTAAAACCTTTGGACTAACAACACAAGTACAAAGAACGGGGCACATACATTTGGCCAGAGGGCTGTGCATGGAAGTATTAAAAACAAAACACCCCTTAGGGAAGATTAAAAAAGGCTTTGGCCCCATGCTGAGTGCACAGTGACTGTATAGCATTGCATTCCACCTTGGAACCTGGTTCCATGAGGCCACATATTATTGCTATGACTAAGGATTAGATTAGATCAGATTAGTTAACCCTATCTAAATCAAGCAGGGACTTTTTTTAAGTGTGAATTGATGATTGGTAATTGATTCAATTGGCACTTGCAATATGTCTAATATCGTCATTGATTACTCAAAAAAGCCTCATGCAGTGGCCTGAAAGGTTGCAAGTATGCTGAAACATTTATTAAAGACTATTTAAATGTTAAATATTAGCCCAAAATTACACAAAACAGATACATGCTGTTAAAGCGAAGCAAACACAGCCTCACGAGGATTGGAAATGTTTTATCACTTAAATTATTATCACGGCGTAAAGAGACAACACGCCATCCTGCAGACGATTCCACTTGCAGTGGCCCTTATTTTGTCTTGCTGTCTCTTTGCATTTAAGGCTTGCCGACATGCAATGCTTGTTGCAGTGCATTCAGATGAGGGGGGTGATTTTAAAGCGGCTGGCCTAAAGCCCTCACACCCTGCCACGCAAATTATGTGAAACTCTGTGGGAACTCTGATGTGATAGCACATGCCACCAAATCCAAAGTTAATTGGACACTTTCTTCATGAAAAGGCCCGTGGTAAACGGCAGCGAGCGAACAACAAGGCCGAGGCCTGCCGGAGCGAACAAGACGGAACAGCTCGGATAACAAAGCCAACAGCAGATGTGTGGCGCGCTGCAGCAGAACAACGACGCTTCTCTCGCTGCTTAATCCTCAGCATTGGGCTAACCTGATTAGCCTTCCCATGCCCAACAGCTGCTATCTTAGCCCAATTTGTCCGGCTCGGAAATGCCGAGCACACTGCCGCCGCCGCCGCCGCCGCATTCTTCGTGCCAAACGAACATTTGCGTGTGGAAGATGGTCAGCAGCCCGGTGCGCTTGATCAAAAAAGGATTTCATGGATGCAGATGGAGAGAAGGGAGATTTATGGAAATGTGGCCCTGCAGTGAGCTGGATGTCTCAGTTTCCATGAGCCGGTCCAGTGCTGGAAGACGGGAGGCTCCAGAGAGGCTCTCCAGAAACGGACGAGTCAACGAGTAAAAAAAGACTGGATGTAAAACGTAGGGCACTGAAATGTCCGGCAAAAACGGACAAATTGGGCTACACGGGGAGGCCGGTGCTGCACCTTGATTTTCTGGCTCCCCGACGGCCAAAATGGAATCAAGCTGTCAGTTTAAACAATGTCTAGACTCTGAGTGACCACATGGGCGTACGTTCCAGGAGCAGCAGGGCCCCCGCTCTCTTTCTCAACATGTATCATGTGTCAATATCAATAAACAGCCCACAGAAAAACTCTTAAAATGCCTCTTTGGAACTTCAATGATATCATTTTGAGGTTCACAAATACTTCACAGTTTGTACCTTTTGCAGTAAAAGGGTCCATCAATGTTTGCTGAGCTGTCATCCAGTGGAACAATATGTGCAAATTAATATTTCATAATAACGTATTAGGAAACCTCCTCTACTATTGTGTCGATTTTTATATTTTGAAAATAGATCCACGAGACCGCATGTGATTCATCCGCTGTTTAAGATTTACTGACCCAAGAACCGTCTCACAGCACATTGAAGCAGGAGCTGCATGCAGTGTCAGTGATTAGGCTCCTGTGTAAGGTAAACATTGATGAATGTGGTAACATCTCATAATCACGTCACCACCGCTGGGGGGGACGTGAGAATAGCAGCTTTCTGTCGCTCGTGGTGCCGCTTGGCCTTCTGAACACCGGCCTCACAGAGCCGGCGATGCAGGGAGGCGTACCTGCTGTCTGTCACTCACCCCCGCCAGAACCC